ATTGATAGAACATTTCAGGTTATATCTGATGAGTCTGACTTGATAGAACAAAATCAGTAGGATATAGAAAAGAAAGGAAGTGTGATGTAGAACATGGCCCGTGAATTAGAAACAGTTGCAAGTACACATTGAACATTCTGAATCTCAAATTCTGGGAATGCTCCAAAATCTGAAACTTTTTGAGCCACTTACCTGTTCATATTATTTTGGATTTTGGAGTAGTTCAGACTTCAGCATTTTTTTTTTTTTTTTTTTGCCGGTCATGGGGCCTGAACTCTGGGTCTGGGCACTGTCCCTCAGCTCTTCAGCTCAAGGCTAGTGCTCTACCACTGGAGCCACAGCGCCACTTCCGGCTTTTTCTGTTTATGTGGTGCTGAGGAATCGAACCCAGGGCCTCATGCTTGCAAGGCATGCACTCTACCGCTGAGCTACCTTCCCAGCCCCAGACTTCAGCATTTTGGGTGAGTGATTTCAACTGGTAAAGTTTGTTCATGCTTATAATTACAAAATCTGAAAATTACAAAATCTGGAACACTTCTAATCCCAAGTATTTTGGATAAGGGAAACACTATAACTCCAAAAGATGGAGTTATATTTGAAATAGAAGTAGAAGATAAAATCACTGATAGACAAGGTGGAATGAGATAACGTAGGACCCTGTGCACCATGCCAGTACTTTTCTAAGTGCTTTAGAATGGGATGTGAGGATGCTAGGTAGATAATCATAGCTAATTGGACTGTAGAAAACCCTTCTGCATCTTGGTGGACAGTGCGTTGGGTAGGCACTGTGCTGCTGTTACTGTTTATTATTTTTCATTGCACCATAAAACAGTTGCTACTTAGAAGTCAATAACATAGAAAAGTACTAATCTACTGGAAGATCTTAGATTAATTCTTCCTTTCTAAAATTTCTGATAGTTTTCTGTTGTAAAAACTTTTAACTTCAGTAGCAAAATGCTAAGTGATTAAACTTAGTTATCATCTATGTTAGTTTTGAAGGAAGACAATTCCACGTTTATCAGATAAGGCACTGAATGGCCTTCCTGTGATACTTTTGACTCTTTCATGCTAACAAGATAGCTGCTACAGTTCCAGATATTATGTATTAGTAGGCAAGAGAAAGGGACTGGGCATCAAAGAGACCTTTTTAAAATCTTTTTTTTTTTTTTTTTTTTTTTTTGTCAGTCGTGGGGCTTGAGCTCTGGGCCTGAGCGCTGTCCTCCAGCTCTTCAGCTCAAGACTAGTGCTCTACCACTTGAGCTACAGCATCACATCCAGTTTTTCTGGTGGTTTATTGGAGATAATAGTCTCATGGACTTTCCTGCCCAGGCTGTCTTTGAACTGTGATCCTCAGATCTCAGCCTCCTGAGTAGCTAGGATTATAGGCATGAGCCATCAGCGCCCGGCTTCTTAATTATAATCTTGTCAAGCAAAAATTTTATATCAAGATCACTCACTCTGGAGGTAGAAGCCTAGGTGTGAGTTCAAGTTTCTCTACTTACTAGCTGTGTTACCTCTAATGTGTATTGTAACCTTTCTGTGGCTTTTTGTAAAGGAAATTAATATAGTAGTACTTACAGGATTGATATGGTAAGACTGAATGACTATATATATATATATATATTTTTTTTTTTTTTTTTTTTTAATTGGTCATGGGGCTTGAACTCTGGGCCTGGGTGCAGTCCCTCAGCTCTTCAGCTCAAGGCGAGCGCTCTACCACTTGAGCTACAGTGCCACTTCCAGTTTTCTAATGGTTTATTGGAGATAGGAGTCTCATGGTCTTTCCTGCCTGGGCTGGCTTTAAACTGCGATCCTCAGATCTCAGCCTCCTGAGTAGCTAGGATTACAGGTGTGAGCCACCGGCGCCTGGCTGACAATATTTTTTTAATGGCAGATTATTGTTAAATAAATGAACATAGTAAAGTCTCTTCATCAGGATAGAAAATCTTGTTCCAGAGGCACCCCAAAAGACTAGAACTGTGTCATGTGCCTAAACACTGTCATAGAAGAATGAGATTAGACTAGCTATAGATTCATATACCCTGTAAAGAAAAGAGGTCTTGACTTCCCTGAGCACATTGATACCCACCTGATAACGTGAACACAACCTAAATCTCCTTGGAGGGGAGTGTGTGGTGGGGGAGGGGGGGAGGGGCACGTCGGAAATGGCTATTAAACACAGTACAATGTCTTTGAGGGCTTCCTCTAATTGCCTACCTAAGCAGGATCACCTGTTATTTCCACTAGTAAAGGTTGATGACTTCCTGTAATCCTAGCTACTTAGGAGGTTGAGATCCAGAGCATCACAGTTCAAGGCCTGGAGTCAAGGCTCAAGTGGTAGAACACAAGCTGAATGAATGTGAAGCCCTGACTTCAAACACCAATATTGCCACACACACAAAAATTGATTGCTATCTAGTAGGTATCTCTTGTACCTCTTGTTTCATTCTTATTCCTAACTTTGGCTTGATTCAGAGAGAGAAAGAGAGAGAGAGAGTGAGTGTGTGTGTGTTTTACTGCTTTGAGGCAGGATTTTACCACATAGCCCAGACTAGACTTGAACTTGTGATACAACCTCCTGCGTACTTGGTATTCATGTGATGTGCATGTCTAGCCAGCTTGGTTCTGTTTGTTTTGAGTCACTTAGAATGGGTTTTTTAAATTTTTATTTACTTATTTATTTGCCAGTCCTGGGACTTTAACTCAGGACCCAGACACTGTCTCTGAGCTGCTTTTGCTCAAGGCTAGCACTCTACCACTTGAGCCACAGCACCACTTTGGGCTGGCTTTTTCTGTTTATGCTGTACTAAGGAATTGAACTCAGGGTTTCATGCATGTCCAGCCCTGAGGGGATACACACACACACACACACATACACACACACAGTGGGAGGGAGGAAAGAGGGGGGATACTGTCACTTATTTGAGTAGCTGTAAAGATTCAGTGAATTGAACTCAGGGTTTCATGCATGTCCAGCCCTGAGGGGGACGGATGGACGGACGCATGGACACACACACACACACACACACACACACACGTACACACACACACATACACACACACGTGCGCACTGGGAGGGAGGGAAGAGGGGGGATACTGTTACTTATTTGAGTAGCTGTAAAGATTCAGTGAATAGCCAGGTGCCAGTGGTTCACACCTGTAGTCCTAGCTACTGAGGAGGTCTGAGGATCACAGCTGTAGCTACTGAGGAGATCTGAGGATCATAGTTTGAAGCCAGCCTGGGCAGGAAAACCTGTGAGACTATTATTTCCAGTTAATCACAGGAAAACAGCCAGAAGTGGCTTCGTGGCTCAAGTGTTAGAGTGCTATCTTTGAGCAAAAGTTGTTCAGGGATAGCACCCAAGCCCCAAGTTCAAGCCCCAGGATCAGCCAAAAAAAAAAAAAAAGATTGAGTGAGTAGAAACACTTCCTTTATAATGTTCTGTGGTACTTAATAGATGCATCTTAGAGACTTATAAAGCAACTTTTAAAATTTAAGGTATATGTATTTGTGAATTTGTATATGCACATGTAAATACTAATATATTTGGCAAAGTATTACATTATTTTTCCTCTTTTAAAATTGTGTACAGGAAGTGGTGCTGTGGCTCAAGTTGTAGAGAGCTAGCCTTGAGCACGAAGAGCACAAAAACAGTGCCAGGCCCTCAGTTCAAGCCCCACAACTGATAAAAGAAAAAAAATTCTGAACAGCTGGACACTGGTGGCTCATGCCTATAATCCTAGCTGCTCAGGAGGCTGAGATCTAAGGATTGCGGTTTGAAGCCGGGTTGGGGCGGTGGGGGTGGTGTGTGTTTGTGTGTGTGTGTGTGTGTGTGTGTGTGTGCAAGCCCCACAACTGATAAAAGAAAAAAAATTCTGAACAGCTGGACACTGGTGGCTCATGCCTATAATCCTAGCTGCTCAGGAGGCTGAGATCTAAGGATTGCGGTTTGAAGCCGGGTTGGGGCGGTGGGGGGTGGTGTGTGTGTGTGTGTGTGTGTGTGTGTGTGTGTGTGTGTGTGTGTGTGTGTGTGTGTGTGTGTGTGTGTGTGTGTGTGTGTGTGTGTGTGTGTGTGTGTGTGTGTGTGTGTGTGTGTGTGTGTGTGTGTGTGTGTGTGTGTGTGTGTCTGATCTCCCAACTAATCTGAAAAAGCCAGAAGTGACGCTGTGGCTCAAGAGGTAGAGTGCTAGCCATGAGCAAAAAGATCAGGGATAGATAGTGCCCAAGCCCAGAGTTCAAGCCCTAGAACTGGCAAAAAAAAACAACGCATACATACATAAAATTATGAACATAAAAACTATAGAAAACCTGCAAAAAGTGGAGAAGTATAAAGAAAGCATTCAGCCTTTATCTTAGTTGTTATTTATTTTGGTGTCCATACTGGGTGTTTGACTCAGGGTCATATGCTTTCAACTTGACTTTTTTGCTCAGAGTTGGCACTCTTCCACGTCTGGTTTTTTAGTGGTTAATTGGAAATAAGAGTCTTAATTCTCCCAGGTGTCTTCATACCTCAGTCCTCAGATGTCAGCTTCCTAAGTAGCTAGGATTACAGGTGTGATCTACCAGTGCCTAGTTAGATCAGCCTTTAAACTTAGAATGAAGAGTACAACTCAAAATGATTTTTTTGGGGGGAGGGGGTCCAGTCATGGGGCCTGAACTCTGGGCCTGGGCGCTGTCCCTCAGCTCTTCAGCTCAAGGCTAGCACTCTACCACTTGAGCCACAGCGCCACTTCCGGCTTTTTTCTTTTGCTTATGTGGTGCTGAGAAATCGAACCCAGGGCTTCATGCATGCAAGGCAAGCGCTCTACCACTGAGCCATCTTCCCAGCCCCTCAAAGTGATTATTTATGTGACTTAGATTCTAAGTTGAAAGCATGAATAAAGTTAGGATACTTGTGTCTCTTCATTTTCATTAATGAAATGTAATGCATTTTTGTTTTTGTTAGTACTATCTAAAGCACCTTAGCTTATTAAGATGATTTGTCCCTTTCTCTCCAAAGCATCATTTTCTCGGAAAGACAAAGACCAAAGGAAGCAGCAGGCAATGTGGCGAGTACCCTCTGATTTAAAGATGCTAAAAAGACTCAAAACTCAAATGGCTGAAGTTAGATGTATGAAAACAGATGTAAAGAATACACTTTCAGAAATAAAAAGCAGCAGCATTGCTTCTGGAGATATGCAGATGAATCTTTTTTCTGCTGACCAGACAGCTCTTGCTGCATGTGGAGCTGAAAGCTCTGGCAGACTACAGGATTTGGGAATGGAGCTGTTGGCAAAGTCATCAGTTGCCAGTTGTTACATGCGAAACCGTAAGTGAAATATTCCTATTGTGGTATTTCCTCATCTGCTATTTAAAATTACATGACTGATTATTTTCAATATAAAAGTCTGTAGCTGGGTGCCGGTGGCTCACGCCTGTAATCCTAGCTACTCAGGAGGCTAAGATCTGAGTATCACAGTTCAGAGCCAGCCCTGGCAGGAAAATCTGTGAGACTTTTTTTTTTTTTGTCGGTCATGGGGCTTGAACTCTGGCCTGGGCACTGTCCCTCAGCTCTTCAGTTCAAGGCGAGCGTCCTACCACTTGAGCTACAGCGCCACTTTGGTTTTCTAGTGTGTTATTGGAGATAGGAGTCTCCCAGTCTTTCTTGCCTGGGCTGGCTTTGAACCACGATCCTCAGATCTCAGCCTCCTGAGTAGCTAGGATTACAGGTGTGAGCCACCACACCAGCGCCCTGTGAGACTCTTGATCTCTGTCTGGTTAACCACTTGGAAAGGAAGTGGTGCTGTGGCTCAAAGTGTTAAGAGTGCTAACCTTAAGCAAAAGAACTCTCAGGGACCCCGAGTTCAAGCCCCAAGACTGACCCTCCCCCCCAAATCAAACTAAAGTAGTTCTTTGTGGGTGGACATTTGCAAAAAACCTTTGTTATTATATATTTTTCACATATCTCCTCCATTGCTATTCTTTTCCCATGCTAATCATAAAGTCTTTAAATTTTTTAGACATATTACTAATAATCATCTTTGGACTCATATTTTTTATTTGGAAGACCTTTTTCACTCCAGTTTCTAAAAATAACTTATATTTTTGGAGACAGAGTCTTAGCTATGCAGCCATTGGCTGGCCTCCAATTTTCTTTTGTCCTGCTCCTGCTTTCTGAGGATTAGGCCTGAACCACCACACTTGGCCAAACATATACAGGGTCTTTTTTTATGTTTGTACCTTCTTCCACTTACCACAGCTTTTTAAGGTCTAGTCCATGTTGTAGCATGTATTGAGAAGGTCATTCTTTTTTTATAAAAAGCTGAATAACAGGGGCTGGAAAGGTGGCTCAGTGGTAGAGCCGTTGCCTTGCATGCTTGAGGCCCTGGGTTCGATTCCTCAGCACCACATAAGCAAAAAGAAAAAAGCTGGAAGTGGCACTGTGACTCAAGTGGTAGAGTGCTAGCGTTGAGCTGAAGAGCTGAGGGACAGCACCCAGGCCCAGAGTTCAGGCCCCACAACCAGATCCCCCCCCCCCCAAAAAAAAAAAACAAAACTGAATAACAGGACATATATGGATATACTTTCTTTTTTTTCTGACAGTTGATGGACATTTGTAATTTTTCTACTTTTTGGCTATTACAATTGCTGTTATGAACATTCAGATTTAAGCTGTAGTGTGGGTATATGTTTCGTTTATATTGGGTATATTTATGAGTGGAATTGCTGGTTTATTCTGGAACTGTTTAACTTTTTAAGGAACTCTTCTAGTCCCAGGTTATTTTCCAGTTGCAACATTGTGTTTTCCTCTAGCAATATATGAAGGTTGTAATTCTCCATATCTTGACAGCACTTACTATTGTCCCTCACTTGAATTGTCCTAGCATCCTTTCAAGTCAATTGGCCATACATGTAAAGATTTATTTCTGGGTTCTTAATTTTGCTAAACATGTCTATTCTTATGCTGTTACTACCTGTTCTTGATTCCAGTATCTTAAGTTTTTAAATCAGGAGTATGAGTCTAATTGGTGATATGGTTCAGTGACTAAAGTGCTTGCCTAACATGCATGAGACCCTGGGCTCCAACCCTAATACCAAAAAGGAAAACAAGTCTAAGTCTTACATTGGAGATTGTTTTGGCTATTCTAAGTCTCTTGGATTTTTATAGGAATTTCAGAATCAGTTTAACTTTTTTTTTTTTTTGGTCGGTTGTGGGGCTTGAACTCTGGGCTTGGGCCCTGTCCCTCAGCTCTTCAGCTCAAGGTGAGCGCTCTACTCTCTACCGCTTGAGCCACAGTGCCACTTCTGGTTTCTAGTGGTTTATTGCAGATAAGAGTCTTATGGACTGGCTTTGAAACAAGATCCTCAGATCTCAGCCTCCTGAGTAGCTAGGATTATAGGCGTGAGCCATGGGCGCCTGACTCAGTTTAACTTTTTTTAAAGGGATTATTTTAAATCTGTAGATTCTTTAAATCTGTAGATTCATTTTAAGCATATTAACCTTGTTAACAATGCTAGGAAATTTAGTGTTGCATTTTTTAAATTAAATTTATTTTGTTAAATTTTCTAGTATATTTCTAAGCTTTTAATATTATTACAGTTACTCTCAATTTTGTTATCAAATTACCTTTTCATAGAGTATAGAAATAAAAGCATCAGTCCATTATCCTTTAATCTTGTTATGTCTGTGTTTGACTTTCTTTTTTTCTGCAGTATAATGACTTGAACTTAGGGCTGGTACTTTTGCTCTAACATTTGACCCACACCCACATTTCTGCTTTTTTTTTTTTGGGTCCGGTCGTGGGGCCTGAACTCTGGGCCTGGGCGCTGAGCTCTTCAGCTCAAGGCTAGCCCTCTACCACTTGAGCCACAACGCCACTTCCAGCTTTTTTTTTTTTCTTTTTTGCTTATGTGGTGCTGGGGAATGGAACCCAGGGCCTCATGTATGCAAGGCAAGCACTCTACCACTGAGCCACCTTCCCAGCCCCTCTTGCTTTTTTTTTTTTTTTAATCTAGTTTCTTGACTATGCGTATTCAGGCCTTTGGTATCCTTTTATTTTTTTTTCCTAATTAATTCATTTTTAAGGCTACACCTTTTCTTGTCATTCCTGCTTTAGCCACAAGTATTTTGATCCAGAGTATTATAATTGATTTATTTTGAATTCAGCAACCTTTTTTTTTTCAATTAGTAAGATACAATTTCTAATTATTTAGGAGGTTATATTAGTTGCATTGAGATTAGTGTGATTTCTGGGCACTGCTGGCACATACCTGTAATCTTAGCTATTCAGGAGGCTAAGAACTGAGGATTGCGGTTCAAAGCCAGCCCAGGCTGGAAAGTCCATGACACTCCAATTAACCACTTAAAAACTGGAAGTGGCACTGTGGCTCAAAGAATGGTAGAGTGCTAGCTTTGAGCACAAAAGCTCAGGGACAGGCCCTACAGGACCAACAAAAAAAAGAGATTGATATGATTTTTTTTTTCTTTTGAGGTCATAATTGTTCTTTTAAGTCAGGCTTCGTCAAGTTAGGCTTCTTCTCAAGAACAGAAAAAAATGTATTTTTTTGTCATAAAAACCTTAAATAAGCCAATTGGGACTACAGTGTGCCATGCTTTTATTGGACAGTGTAGACAGAAAAGCTTTGCTCTATTCATAGTAGATCATACCTTAACAATAAAACTTCCTTGCTGACTAGGAAGTGAAATTTATGCTCACTGATTATATTCAGAAGCATTCTTACATGTCTTTGCAGCCACACATAAGAAGAATAATTCACCCAAGCCAGCTCGGTGCAGCATAGCAGGTAATCTATCACTTCGAAGAGCAGTGGACTCTGGAGAAAATAGTTGTTCAAAAGGAGACCGTCAGACCTTGTCTGAAGGTAAGTTTTGGGGTTCAGAACATGATTTCAGTAGAGAGATGTGTATAAATTAATATTATGATATAGCTTTCATTCTTTAAAGGCACCAAAAATGCTTAAGTTATATTGAAGTCATTCTTCCTGCCTCAGCCTCCCAAGTGTTTTAATTATAAGGTGTCTATCACCACATTGGGCCACTTGAAATTTCTTAATCCTACACTAAAACAGACCCTTAGAAAACTGCAAACATCGGCCTGGGAAGGTGACTCAGTGGTAGAATGCTTGTCTTGTATGCATGAGGCCCTGAGCTTGATTCCTCAGTACCACATAAGCAGAAAAAGCTGGAAGTGGCACTGTGGCTCAAGTGGTAGAGCACTAGCTTTGAGTTGAAGAGCTGAGGGACAGTGTCTAGGCCCAGAGTTCAGGCCCCACAACTGACAAAAAAAAAAACAAAACTGCAAACATGCCAGGTGCTGGTGGCTCACGCCTTTAATCCTTGTGACTCAGGAGCCTGAGATCTGAGGATCATGGTTCAAAGCCAGCCTGGGTGGGAAAGTCCATGAAACTCTTCTCTCCAGTAAACCAATATAAAACTAAAGTGGTCCTGTGGCTCAAGCGGTAGAGTGCTTGCCTTGAGCTGAAGAGTACAGGGACAGTGCCCAAGTCCAGAGTTCAAGCCCCAAGCCTGACAAAAAAAAAAAAAAATACCCTGCAAACATTTGACTGTCTATTCCAGACTCTGACTTTTAAATACTTGGTATCAAAAGGACTGATATACATTTTAAATTATGTTCTGAGTAGTTTTAAAATGCATATATACTAAGATTTTCTACACCAGCAGAACTCTCATGATTATTTAATGCTTATTTATTTCTGAATGTCCCTCTTTTCTGAAGGCTCCACAGGCAGTTCTCAGTCTGGGAGCAGGCACAATTCTCCCCGAGCCTTGACACATGGCATTATTGGGGACATTCTGCCCAAAACTGAAGACCGTCAGTGTAAAGCTTTGGATTCAGATGCTGTTGTGGTTGCAGTTTTCAATGGCTTGCCAACTGTTGAGAAAAGAAGGAAAATGGTCACCTTGGGGTAAATTAAGTTCTTTGCTGTTCTTTTGACTGTGCCATAATGAAAAAAATTAATTTTCTACTTAGTTTATTTTTTAGATAGGCACACATTTTATTGGCTTAAAAAGTAGCTTTCCAGGGCTGGGAAGGTGGCTCAGTGGTAGAGCGCTTGCCTTGCAAGCATGAGGCCCTGGGTTCGATTCCCCAGCACCACGTAAGCAAAAAGAAAAAAAGCCAGAAGTGGCGCTGTGGCTCAAATGGTAGAGCGCTGTCCTTGAGCTGAAGAGCTGAGGGACAGCGCCCAGGCCCAGAGTTCAGGCCCCACGACCGGACCCAAAAAAAAAAAAAAAAGTAGCTTTCCAGCTGGGCGCCTGTGGCTCATGCCTGTAATCCTAGCTACTGAGGAGGCTGAGATCTAAGGATCATGGTTCAAAGCCAGCGTAGGTAGAAAAGTCCCTGAGACTCTTATCTCCAATTAACCACTAGAAAACTGGAAGTGGGGCTGTGGCTCAAATGGTAGAGTACTCAATTTGAGCTGAAGAGTGCAGGGATAGTGCCCAAACCCAGAGTTCAAGCCCCACAACTGACCCCCCCCCCCCCCCAAAAAAAAAAAAAAAAGTAGCTTTCCTTTCTGTTTTTCTTTGTTTTGTTGTCTCTCTTCCGTAATATGAAAGAAAATGTCCTTAATTCAGAATTTTCTGAAAGGATATATAATAGTTGACACTTAATCTCTATCCCAAGGAATATAATCATTTTGACCAAATCGTATCCTTTTTTTTTTTTTTTTTTGGTCGGTTGTGGGGTTTGAACTCTGGGCTTGAGCGGTTGTGGGGTTTGAACTCTGGGCTTGGGCGCTGTCCTTGTGCTCTTCAGCTCAAGGCGAGCACTCTACCGCTTGAGCCACAGCACCACTTCCGGTTTTCTAGCAGTTTATTGGAGATAAGAGTCTCACGAACTTTCCTGCCCAGGCTGGCTTTGAACCGTGATCCTCAGATCTCAGCCTTCTGAGTAGCAAGGATTACAGATGTGAGTCACGTGCCGGTGCAAATCATATCTTTTTGACAAGGTTTACGTTAACATCTTATGGGACATAAATGGCTCAAGAATACCTTGAAGGGGGCTGGGAAGGTGGCTCAGTGGTAGAGTGCTTATTTTGCATGCATGAGGCCCTGGGTTAGATTCCTTAGCACCACATAATCAGAAAAAACTGGAAGTGATGCTGTGGCTCAAGTGGTAGAGCGCTAGCCTTGAGGGGAAGAACTGAGGGACAGTGTCCAGACCAGAGTTCAGGCCCTATGACTGGCGGGGAAAAAAAAGGGAATAGCTTGAAGTTTTTATTTTTAGTTTACATTTCAGTATTAGAAAGGTATTAAAATCACAGGAGAACATGTGGTGCATATCTATAATCCTAGCACCCAGCAGGTGAGACAAGATGAGCACAAGTTCTAGGCCAGCCTTGGAGCAACTTAGCAAGATTCTATCCCAAAGTAAAATTTTAGGAAAGGACTGGAGATAGAGCCCAGTGGTGGAGGCTTACTTAGCATGTGTGAGGCCTTGTGTTCAATCCACTGCATTGAAAAGAAAAAAAAAATCACTACAATTATCTTGTTTTCTCCAATACTTAGCCTGATGTTATTAAACATTCTTTTTAAGTTAAAGCTAGTCCTCCCTTCCCTCCCCCCCCTCCCCTCCCTTACCCTTTCCTTCCCTTCCCTTCCTTCTGTCATTTCTGGGGCTTGAACTCAGAGCCTGGGGACAGGCTTAGCACTCTTACCACTTGAGCCACAATACCACTTCCAGCCTTTTCTATGTACGTGGTACTGAGGAATTCAACCCAGGACTTCATGCATGCTAGGCAAGCAGTATACCACATAGGCACATTCCCAGTCCCAAACTAGATTTCCTTATTTTTCTTTCTGGTCCTAGGCTTGAACTCTGGACCTGGGCTCTGTGCCTAAGCCTCTTTATGCTCAAGGCTAGAGCTCTACCATTTGAGCCATAGTACCACTTCTGGCTTTTTCTGAGTGGTTTATTGGAGATGAATCTCATGGACTTTCCTGCTTGGGCTGGCTTCAAACTGTGATTTTCAAATCTCAGCCTCGGTGTGAGCCACCAGTGCCCAGCTTTAGATTTTCACACCTCTCTCTCTCTCTCTGTCTCTCTCTCTGTCTCTCTCTCTCTCTCTTCCTCTCTCTCCCTTCCTTCCTTCCTTCCTTCCTTCCTTTCCCTTCCCCTTCCCTTTTCCCTTTCCTTTCCTTTCCCTTTCCCTTTCCCTTTCCTTTCCTTTCCTTCTTTTATAGGAACATTTATATATATATGTAAATATATATGTCTTTAATTATGAAGACTAAATCTATATGAATGTAGCTTTTTAAAAATTAGAATGGGGGCTGGGCGCTGGTGGCTCACGCCTGTAATCCTAGCTACTCAGGAGGCTGAGATCTGAGGATCGCGGTTCAAAGCCAGCCCGGGCAAGAGAGACCGTGAGACTCCTATCTCCAATAAACCACCAGAAAACCACAAGTTGGCGCTGTAGCTCAAGTGATAGAGCACTCGCCTTGAGCTGAAGAGCTGAGGGACAGCACCCAGGCCCAGAGTTCAAGCCCCACGACCGACCAAAAAAAAAAAATTAGAATGGGGCTGCAAAGGTGGCTCAGTGGTAGAGTGCTTGCCTTGCATGCATGAGGCCCTGGGTTCAATTCCTCGGCACCACATCAGCAGAAAAAGCCAGAAGTGGCGCTGTGGCTCAAGTGATAGAGTGCTAGCCTTGAGCTCAAGAGCTGAGGGACAGCGCCCAGGCCCAGAATTCAGGTTTCATGACCCACAAAAACAAAAATAAGAAAATAAATTAGAATGTAAAATCCTATACAAAAGTCTGTAAGCCTGTTTTATGGTGTGCTGTCCAGATTGATTTCTATTTTTTTCTGATTTAATGTAGGCAAAATGTATAAGTACTAATATTAAGTGGTTTGCAATGAAAGGGAAAAATACGAAGTGAATATATCCATATCGTTTTCTTTCTTACCTCTGCTTGGTCTCCTACCTCCCTGCTCACACACACTTGGACTTGTACATCTCATTATTGCAATGGGTCTACCTGTATCCCTATTTAAACCATTTGTTTTTCCCTTCCCCTCCACAAATTATACCGACATCAAATACAGTGAAAGCAGGGGTTATACTGTGAGGGAGGGACATACAAAGCAACAAAGAAATAATCTTATAAATGTGTTAGAAACAATCGCATGAAAGAAACAAAAACATCTGAATACATATCTTAGAGTTCACTTCCGTAACATCAACTTAACTGACCTTTTCTGCTTGACTCAGACATATACTAGTTATTGCAAATAAGGGAAAACATGGGACCTATTAGTGGTGGTTTTAGTCGTGGGGCTTGAATTCTGGACCTGGACACTGTCTCTCAGCTCTTCAGCTCAAGGTAAATGTTCTACCACTTGAGCCACAGCACCACTTCCCATTTTCTGGTGGTTGGAGATAGAGTCTCATGGACTTTTCTGCCGGGGTTGGCTTTGAACCACAATCCTCGTATCTCAGCTTCCTGTATAGCTAGGATTACAGGCGTGAGCCACTGGCACCCAGCTTTAATTGAAATTTTTATTAAAATATTTTTAGAGCCACATAAAATCCCACATCTTATACTATTCTCCCTAGTGCTAACATTTTGCAAGACTATAGCATAGAAAATAAACTACATAACTTGTAGATAGGAATGGGAGGGGAAAATAGGGGAGAAAGAAGGGAAGGGATAACATTGTCAAGAAGCATTGTACTCATAACCTGACATAGGGAATTATAACCCTTTATATAACTAATTGATAATAACTTAAAACTACAGCACAGTACCACCTCCAGGAATTGCTACTGATACAGTCTGCCAACTCAAAATCTTCCAAAGTGAATTTTCAGTGAAATTTGAAAAGTCAAATTGGAGCTGATGGAGTGGCTCAAATGTATACCCTACTTGGATTTGGCCTCAGTTTTGAGATAGGAAAAATACTGGTGATTGTGTTTCTTTCTGGACATAGGAAATATCAAGTTGTTTTTTCCTATCAGGGCTAATACTAAAGGTGGTCGTCTAGAAGGAATGCAGAGAACTGACTTGGAAAATAATTCTGAAACTGGCGAGTTACAACCTATACCTGAAGGAGCTTCAGCAGCCCCTGAGGAAGGTAAGAAAAAAATAAAAAGTTGTTATTGGCAGATAGCAGAAATACTAACTCTTGGTGACTATGGAAGGTATTGGTAGGTAGTGGTTGATTTTAGCAAAAATGTCACTGAGATCTATTCAGCATACTTGATTTTGATTATATTACTGGTTATAATTTATTAAGCTATTAAGCACAACAAGGCAAAATGAATAACTTACTACATAGAATGACAGGTCTTGCCAGGTATTGTGGAGCATGTCAGTAATCTCAGCTATTTGGAAGGTGGAGATACAGGAGAATCAAGGTCCTAGGTAATCACAGATAAAAGCACAAGACTATCTGAAAAACAAACTAAAATTCATAAAGGATTAGCTGTGTATCTCAAGTGGTAGAGTACTTACTGAAGTATGAGGCTTTGAGTTTAATCTTTTTTTTTCTTTTTTTCTTTTTTTTTTTTTTTTGTCCATTGTGGGGCTTGAACTCAATCAGCACTCTACCACTTGAGCCACAGCACCACTTCCAGCTTTTTCTGTTTATGTGGTGCTGAGGAATCAAACTAGGGCCTCATGCATGAAAGGCAAGCACTCTACCACTGAGCCACCTTCCCAGCCCCTTGAGTTTAATCTTCAGTATGCTACCCCCGCTTTCAAAAAAAAAAGTCCTATATATTCCATTCCCCAAAAAGACATTTAAGCTAGATGCTGATGCATTGTGCCTGTAAACCTTGCTAGTCTGGTGGCTGAGGTCAGAGGATCATGTTTCAAAGCCAGCCTAGTCAGAAAAGTATGTGAGATTTTTTTTTCACAGTTTAAGTTTTTTATTGTGAAAATACTGTACAGAGGGTTTACAGTTACATGAGCAAGGTAATGAGTACATTTCTTATCCAGCATTATTACCTCCTTCTTTGTTTTTCCCCTACCATCCCTTCCCTCCCACCTCCTCAGTTACAGTAGTATGAGATTCTTATCTCCAAGTAAACAGCAACAATCTGGAAGTGGAGGTATAGGTCAAGTGAAGAGCACCAGCCTTTAGTGGAAAAAAAACAAGCAAGAAGAAGCTTGAGGCCCTCAGTTCAAGATCCTGAATTCAAGCCCCAAAACTGGCTCAAAAGGGGGAGGAAGGTGGCATTTACAGGGAGAAAAAGGCTGCTGATTATTCATCTGATCAGTCAGTACATATAATAAGCCATGTACATTGAATTTTTACTAGATATGCAAAGATGAACTAAATATGTTCAGAGTCTTACAGAAAAACTATGTCTCTCTATTCTCTCCCTCCCCTTAAAGCTAATAAGAGTCTTTGTTGTTTGAAGTCAGTCTTGATTAATGTCTAGAGATTGCTTTGCTCTTCATATAGACACATTCCAAGCTTTAACCATTTAGAAAATTCCTTACACTGACCAACTTCAACTGCCAAATTTTTCTGTTAGACTTTACCATACTTCTCTATATATTTTTCCAAGTTCACTATTCTTCTGAAAGCATAGAAGACATTTTTTTGTTTGGGGTGACAGAGGTGCTTGAAACAAGCCATTGCTATGTCCTTTGAATATTAGCATTAAATAATGCCAACTTTCTTAAAGATATTTGGCATTGAAAATGTTTTTCATTTCTCAGTGGAACTGTGCTGCCTTCTACCTCGGTACTTATCTGAATTTCAGTGATGGATGAATTGTAGCTGATGTATATATTCAGGTGCCATCATCTGCCTCTGGATAGCCTATGAGAGGGTACGTAGGTAGTGGCCATTTTAGGGTCCTCAAGTAAAGAACACTAAACGTGTTTGTCTTCTCACTTACAAGTAGGCATTAGTTCAGTGGGGTAGATTAAGTGAAAAGTATTTTCAATATTTTGATTATTTTCTACTTTGTTGATGACTAATGATCTTTATAGAAAAAATGTGGATATTAGCTATTTCATGTGTTTATACATTTAATAAATTATAATTACTTCTTTTTTTGGGGGGGGGGGTGGTTGTGGGGCCTGAACTCTGGGCCTGGGTGCTGTCCCTCAGCTCTTCAGCTCAAGGATAGTGCTCTACCACTTGAACCACAGCGCCACTTCCAGCTTTTTTCTTTTTGCTTATGTGGTGCCGAGGAATCAAACCCAGGGCCTCAGGCATGCAAGGCAAGCCCTCTACCACTGAGCCACCTTCCCAGCCCTATAATTACTTCTTACAGCATGTATTGAAATTATAAGCTCATCTTTTTCATGAATCACTTAGGAAATTTTTTAATTTGCCTATTGGATTTGGTGCTTGTGATGAAGTAATTCCAGAATATCCTACTGTCTTAAGATTTCTCTACTGTGGCACAATCTCTATTTTGAACTTTATAATACCGTAAGGAGGCTATTCTCTACTTTGTAAAATGCTTAGCAGCATCTTTTTAGCTTTTAACCACCAAGTAAGTTCTAGTAGTACTTACCTGCCAGTTACAACAACCTAGAGTATCTCCTGAGATGACCCAATGTTCTCTGGCAGGCAAAATCACTTCCAGTTTAGGACTGGTGGTTGAACTGAATAACCTAACACGAGGGGTGATACTCTTAGAAAATCATTTACCATACTGGGCTGCCTTACTAAAAAGAAAAGCTGAAGCTGTCAAGTATGTTTAGATATGTGTAGTGGAAGTGAGGAGGGCAGAGAGAACAATTGAGAACCACTAGTTACTGTTCAGAAAAACTTAATAGCCATTTATAATAAAGGATGATGTGTGTTCTGATAGTGTGTATAAGAAGCATGAAGAAGTATATAATAAGTAATAAATATTTTCTAAATTGTCACCATTTTTCTGAGACTACTAAAGACTTTACCAGTAGTATCTTAAATTGTTCTCAGAACTGCTCTACATGGCTTCTTGAGCAGTTAGGATTACAGGCATCAGCCACTGGCACCTGGGCCTGACTCATTTTTTTTATTAATATATGCTATTGCACAAGAGGATTTCATTGTATTATGTCCTTATATGTATGCGATGTACCCTGATCAAATTCATCCCCCTCCCATCACTCCTCATCCTCATTCCCCAGTTAAGATTATTTCAAGAGATTACTTGCATACATACATACGTATACATACACAAAGTACTTCAACCATATTTGTCCTCTCCATTGACTCTCCCCTCACTGACACCTTATGACTCCACAGAAACTGTTACATATATTTGTCATTGATTTCCCCTCCCTCCCTCCCTCCCTCCTCCCCTCCCTCTCACTCCCTCCCTTCCTCCCTTCCTTCCTTCCTTCTTTCTTTCCTTTTTTTTGGGGGGGGGACTTAAGCTCAGGGCCTCAAACTCTCCCTAGGCCTTTTCACTCTAGACTGGCACTCTACCATTTGAGCTACACCTTCACTTCCAGCTTTTTTGCTGGGTTAGTGGAAATAGAAGTTTTTGAATTTGACTGCCCAGAATGGCTTCAAACTGCAGTTCTCAGATTTCAGCCTTCTGAGAGGCTAGGATTATAAGAATGAGCCACTAGTGCTCAGCTTGATTTTGTTTTTTTAAGTATACATTAATTGTAAAAATGGGTTTCACTGTGATACTTCACTCATGTATTTCAGTACTCACTGAGTGGTATTTTCTTTTTTTTTTTTTTTTTTTTTTGTCGGTCGTGGGGCTTGAACTCTGGGCCTGGGCGCTGTCCCTCAGCTCTTCAGCTCAAGGCGAGCGCTCTACCACTTGAGCTACAGTGCCACTTCCGGTTTTCTGGTGGTTTATTGGAGATAAGAGTCTCATGGTCTCTCCTGCCCGGGCTGGCTTTGAACCGCGATCCTCAGATCTCAGCCTCCTGAGTAGCTAGGATTACAGGCGTGAGCCACCAGCGCCCAGCTACTGAGTGGTATTTTCATGCAGGAATTCTTGTTAACATTTCTAGGAAATGTATATTTTCTTTCTTTCTTTCCTTCCTGCCTGCCTGCCTGCCTTCCTTCCTTCCTTCCTTCCTTCCTTCCTTCCTTCCTTCCTTCCTTCCTTCCTTCCTTCCTTCCTTCCTTTCTTTTCTTTCTTCCTTCCTTCCTTCTTTCTTTCTTTCCTTCCTTCCTTCCTTTGTTTTTTGTGGGGCCTGAACTCTGGGCCTGGGAGCTATCCCTCAGCTCTTCAGCTCAAGGCTAGCACTGTACCACTTGAGCCACAGCGCCACTTCCAGACCCAGGGTCTCATGCATGCAAGGCAAGCATTCTACCACTAAGCCATCTTCCCAACCCAATGTATAATTTCTTGAATCCTGAGAAATGTTTATCAAAAAAAGTTTTTAATGGAAAATTACTCTTAGAATTAATTTTAACAACAAAACAATACTGGTTTGAAGGAATCCAATTAGAGCAAATCAAAAGTTAAAGCTGGGGGCTGGGAATGTGGCTCTTTGGTAAAGTGCTTGCCTAGCATGCATAAAGCTCTAGATTCAATTCCGCAATACCAGATAAACAGGAAAGGCCAGAAATGGTGCTGTGGCTCAAGTGGTAGAGCACTAGCCTTGAAGACAGCCTCAGGGACAGTGCCCAGGCCCTGAGTTCAAGCTCTAGGACCAGCAAAAAAGAAAAAAAAAGTTAAAGCTGGTACCTGGGGTCAAAGGTGCAGGAGCCACTGTGAAGAGAAGTGGTAACACGGCAGTTCTGGTTATGTCAGGGCTATTTTGCTTCCTGCTGAGTATATGCTAGTGAGTTTATGCTTATTAACATACTAGATAGACATCTTCTGTTTGGTGTTGGGATAAATAAGTTTTCAAAGCAAAATAAGTCCCAACATTGGTATTTTTTAGGTGATTCTGTGCAGTACTCTAAACCTTATTTTTTTTTTTGGTCGATTGTGGGGCCTGAACTCTGGGCCTTGGCTCTGTCCCTCAGCTCTTCAGCTGCAGACTAGTGCTCTACCTCTTGAGCCTCAGCCCCACTTCTGGCTTTTTCTGCTTATGTGGTGTTGAGGAATCAAACTGAGGGCCTCATGCATGCAAGGCCAGCACTCTACCACTGAGCCACCCTCCCAGCCCCTCTAAACCTTATCTTGAGAGTTCTACATGTTGCATTAT